CCCCCCCCCCCCCCCCCCGCCTCAGTCTTCTCCTATCTCAAAAGCAGGAACACAGATGCAGAGAAGGAAGCAGGTCTGGACAGCTCCAGCTTCATCAGCTGCCCATGCAAACATCTCATGCACAAAGGTGAGAGCAGGAAACAGGGGCGCTAGAGGCCAAGCCAGTGCAGGGTGCCCAGTACAGAAGGCAACAAGGCACAAGGGTGGTGCAGCTCCTGCTGTCTGACCTCCCTCCCTCCCTCCGTCCTTCTCTTCACTCCACCCACCTTTCTTGAACCCCACAAAGTTCTGCCTGCCACAGGGCCTTTGCTCTTGCCATTCTATCTGCTCGGAGAGTCCGAATCCCAAATAATCCCATAGCTAGTTCCTGATTCCAAGGTCTCTATGCAAATGTCACCTCCCCAGAGAGGCCTTCTGGAGAACCAGGGCTAAGATAGCCCCCCACCCCCAACTCCTTATCTCCTTCTATACTTTTATTTCTCTGTAGCACTTGACATTCTATTAGTCATGTAATTAAGTATTTACTGACACTCTAGAACAGGGGTGGGCAAACTTTTTGACTCGAGGGCCACAATGGGTTCTTAAACTGGACCGGAGGGCCGGAACAAAAGCATGGATGGAGTGTTTGTGTGAACTAATATAAATTCAAAGTAAACATCATTACATAAAAGGGTACGGTCTTTTTTTTTTTTTTTTTTAGTTTTATTCATTTCAAACGGGCAGGATCCGGCCCACGGGCGGTAGTTTGCCCACGGCTGCTCTAGAATATTGGCCACACTAGAGCAGGGATCTTTGTTCTATTCAGTGTCTCCATTGGGGCCTAGCACACAGTAGTTGCTCAAAAAATGTTGACTAAATGGCTCAAAGCAGCCTGGAGTTTGTATATACACAGTCTGAGACCTTCATGTTTTCATGAAGAGGTTCTCCATGCTGGACACTGGGGTGGGAACCTTGGACCTTCAAAGCCAGTGTCCAATGGGGGAGAGGAATGTAAAGAAATGACCCCGGAGAAGTAGAGCACTGAAAATTCTGTTAAGTTCTCAGCAGGAGACCAGCCAGGAGCTGAGGTTGAGCCTGACACAGGTGGGAGGGAGGGGTCTGTTTTAGACAGGGCTGTCAAGGGAGCTTCTTGGAAGGCTGAGCCTCTTCTCCCCAAGTAGAGAGAAGGTGACAGCTATGGGAGGCACGGGGGGAGGGTGTTCTGCACCACGGAAGGGTGAGACCAAATGAGTCAGGGGTATAAGGGCTGAATGTGGGCCCAGGCCTTCTGCACAAGCCCACCCAGGAGAGACAAAGAGGGTCTTGCATGGGCCTGTCTTTCCGAGGCATGTGGCCAGGCAAGCCTCAGTCACCCCCAAGGCAGGGACCACCTCTGCCCTCCCTGCATCCCGCCCTCCTGGACTCCCAGCCCTCCCTCTCCCTCCATGTGAGCACTGGCAGTCAGTGTGCCCTGGTGACAGCGGCAGGGCTGACCTCTGCCCAGGGCTAGCTTTCCCACATGGCTTTTGGCTTCAGACTGGGGACACCTCTTGGAGGGGTTAGAGCGATCTTGAGAGAGGGGGAAGGGGACACAGCAGGGACTGGTGCCTGTAAGGATGCCATAGGTGACATTCTGCAGGCAGGGGTGGAGCTGACAGGTAAAGGGCCCACTGTGTCTGTATCACGGTGTACCAATGTGTCATCTGTGTGTTTGTGTGTCTGTTGACATGTGTGTCTGTACTGTATGTGTGTATCTGTTGTGTGTCTATGGACATATGTGTCTATCGTGTATCTGGACATGTGTCTGTCAACCCATGTATCTTTCAATCTCGTGTGTAGTCTGTCTCTATATGTGTGTCTTGTGTGTGTGTTGATGCATGTGTCTTGTGTGTGTCGTTCTCGTGTGTGGTGCTATTTCCCTGTGTGGACGTTGTGATGCATGTGGCTAATCCTCTATAGGGGGCTGGTGCCTTTACATATATGGTTATGTGTGTGTCCTTCACAAACCCACATTCTGGGACTGGGAGAGTGGCAGGGGAGGGCACACGAGGTGGGATCCCCGAAGTCACAGCACTGCTTCTCTGAGGAGTTCTGCTCTTTATTGTCCATTCTATTCACAAACAGCACGAGTTCCTACTGCGAACACTTCCTGAGGGGGAGCTCAGCCAAGCAGGGGCCAAGGAAGAGGCCAGTGAACCTCTGAGACAGGGGCTCTAGGGCCTGAGGCCTGGATCTTCTGCCTGGGGTCCCTGAATGGGGAGAGGGCAGAGGCAAGGCAGGCTGGAGCCCTCAAGACCCAAGCTTTCCCCTCATTCCTCTTAGGAGGGCTTCTTCCCACTCTCCCCCTAGAGAAACGGAGGCAGGACCGGCTTGGCTGGGTGAGGAAGGGCTTACCCTTCCTGGGGGGGGCCTTGGTTGGGGCCCAGGAACATCCCGCATCTGCCACATAACTTCTTGGGCTGCACATTCTTCCTGGGCACCAGCCAGCAGCTGGAGCACCGGGTGCCATACTTCTTGTACCTGGGACGGGGGCACAAAAATCCAGCATTCAGGATGCACGAGGGACACAGAAACCACCACAGGGAAACCACGTCCCCTTCCCAATACCCCATGCCAGCCACGCACAGGCTGACGGGGGACCCTACCCAACTCCCTCCTCCAGTCTGCAGACCTGATACCACAGGCATTGCAGAGAGGTGTCCCATCTTCGGCATCTCTCCAGAGTGGGGTTCTCTGGGTCCTGCAAGAAGCACAGCGCCTGGGCCCTGGAAAGGCAGAGGCCAAAGGGCAGGAGTCAGAGGCCAAGCGTCCAGGCTCAGGAGGCTCGTGTCGGGTGGGGAAATCTGGGAGGATCTCTGTGAAGGCCCCGCCGGGCTCTGGGCCCGTCCCCGGGTGTTGCCATATCTAAGACAAAGGGAAAGTCAGGAAGGGAGACAGATGGCAAAGCTTGGCAGAGGAGGAAGCCGGGGGTGGGGGTGACTCAGCAGAGTGAAGGGGGGCACTGAGACTCATCCTGGATGGGTCTAAATGGGGAAGCAGGGTGGGGAGTAAGACAGGGAAGATAGAAGGCGCTCCCCCGCCTCCCCTTATTTATAGCTCTCATGTCTCCAGGACTCACCCAGGGCCTCACTGCCTCCTGGGTTGGCCTCGGGGCCTGTAGGGGGAGCCTGAGAGCGGCTCCTGCTGGCCAGGCTGGGGGACAGACAAGGCGTTAGTATTGGGGGATCTGAATCCTGTCCCAGAAAGCCTACCAAAATAAAGATTTACTACAAAGATATCAGGCATCCCTCAGGCGGCATCTGATGTCTGAAAGGCCTGGCTTTGTCCCTCATTGGGAATAATAGTAATAATAATAATTTGAAGAGATAGTTCGCTCGGGGCCAACCTGTCAGGTTGAAATCCCATTTCTCTCTGCCCTTGCTGTGTGACCCTGGAAAAGCGCATCTGATGTCTGAAAGGCCTGGCTTTGTCCCTCATTAGGAATAATAATAATAATAATTTGAAGAGATAGTTTGCTCGGGGCCAACCTGTCAGGTTGAAATCCCGTTTCTCTCTGCCCTTGCTGTGTGACCCTGGAAAAGTGATGTCCCCCTCTGTGCTTCAGTTTCCGAATCTGTAAAATGGGCTTTACAAGGCTTCAATGAACCCACATACATCAAGTGCTGCATGTCGCCTCTTAACTGTTGCTCCTGACAAATGGCAGCTGTTATCATTATTGGAGCAGCCTTCAGCATGGCCAGGCCGGTCTCGTAGAGAGGAGACCAGGCTCAGCCTGGGATAGGACCGGCCACGGCAGCAGGACGGGACTGGCACAGTCTTGCTTGGCCTTTGGCGAGCCCACGCCTGGAGCGCCTCCCCACAGGCCCCTGTCCCTGTCATTACCATTAGCTGCATACAGGGCGCCCTCACTCACCGGCCCCCGTTCCTACCTGTAGCTGTGGATGATCTGAAGGCTGGAATCCGGCTTTATCTGAAACCTCAGGGTCACTCCCGCGAACCGAGGGTCCACTTTCTCGGCGCCCTGGTGCGGGTTTGACTGCTTCCGGGGCCTCCTCCGAGGTGGGGCTGGAGGGGCTGCGGAAATCTCAGGAGGCCCCAGGCTGCCTCCTCGCTGACCAGTTGGGGTCAGCATGGCCCTGGCCAGGGGCGGAGGTTCCAAAACCCCCAGGGCCTTCCGCTCCCAGCAGGGGCCCCGGGCCTGGGTGTCCTGGGCAGGGGGCTGCGCCAGCCCCGCCGCTGTCTCTCGGAGGAGGTGCAGGCTGGTGACGGAGTCCTGACGTGCAGGCCAGAAGGAACTGGGGACAAGGGGCAGTGTGGTCACCCCCCTTCCTGGGCAGCCCTACACAGGCCTCAGCGAGGGCAACTGCATGGCCCCTGGCGACCAGGGACCCCACGTATCCCTGGGGATCAGAACCTCTGCTTTGTAAGTACCAGTAACTAACACGGTGGCTCCTGAATAACCCCGGGAACGGAGCCAGGGTCATGACCCCTTGGCCACTGGGCCAATTTGGGAGAAGGGGCAGCTCCTTTACGCACCTGCTACTGGGTCTGAGGCATCTTGGGGTCCTCGGCGCCTGTTGGGCGGGGGGTCCGGGGAGCGGCTCGGGGTCCAGACATGATGGCGCCAGCAGTTCTCGCAGCAGCATCATGGAGAGGTCTGGCGCTGGCTGGGCCCCCATCCTGC